CTAAGTTATCTACAAGCTACAAGCTAGCATCTGATAGGAAATCCAAACTAAAGGAAAAAACTTTTCAACATTTTTGTAGATACGTACTAATCACCAACTAGAGAAAACAGTCCACTGAGATTTATGTTTCAGCAGCAACAAAACCCACAAGGGAACAAGCCACACGCTGTATACTTACTGATCATCTGGCAGTGTCTTAATGCCCTCCACATTGACAGTAAGGGTCTGGTTTCCGCCCAAAACCTTATGCAAGGATTCTACCAGCTGCTGTTGCTGGCTTCTAATATCGGCTTCTTTTTTGTTGAAAACTAAAACCACGAGTCCGTCTTCGTCTTTATTATTGGGCATACAACTATAACCTACAGCCTGTGAAATAAACCAAAGGATCAAAAATCAATGCAGATTTTATACCAAATGTTTAATAGATAGCTTCGTATCTGCTAAAATGATGGAAATGGTAACCAATCTGTGGGACATCACATATTATAAATAAGCTTCATTCCCCTAAACATAAGCAGTGAAATTTCCGTTTCCTCTCCACCATAGTAACTGAAGAATTTCCTCTGAGAGACTTCGGTAGTTATTCATTTCGGAGGTTCTGATACACTGGAGCAACTCCTATGTCATAACCTAACTGCAGAATTAATGGACTGCATGTCCTTACTTCACTATAGAGCAGACTCAGGAGTGTTGAACTAATTTTAAAGAAACAGTTTACAAATAAATTATGTTTAAAGTACAATCACACTGTCTAGATACTAATGATATAAAGAATGTCTATTGTTTATGATTACATATAATAAAACTTTATGAAACAAGTTATTAGTGTACTATTAAATGAGTCAGAGTTAGGCTACATAATATTAAATACAAGGAATTACACATTGCTAAAAACAGCTTACATCTAGGAATATTTTGTCCTTTGTTACCACTTACATGCAACTTTAATAAAAGTATTTAAGTTCATTCATGTGTACATTTATACATTTTACTATGTACATTATATAGCAACTTTTTAAAGAAAAGTTAAAACACTTAAACTGCTACTTCTACCTGTGTTTACTATTGCGTATCTTATTGCTAAACAATATTAAAAATTTCAACTAATGCACTCAGATGACACAGAAATTAAATAACCCTCGTGTGCAAAAGTAAACCACAAAGTGCCCCAAATTCTGAAACTTTCTGGTGCCAATGATGTCCCAAGTCAAAAACTCTACAGCTGACCTTGTATGATGGGTCGCAGCACACAAACATACTAAAAATATTGTATAAAATTGCCTTTATGCTATATGTACAAGCTAAAGCTACATAAATTAATTTCCTGTTTAGAAGAGTTCCCCAAGGTATGTCATTATGTATATAAATACTCCAAAAATCTGAAAAGTCTAACATCTACACTACTTCTCTGGTCCTGAGGTGCTGGAGAGAAGTTCAGCATACACGTGACTAGCATACATGAGGTTCTGGGTTTGATTCCCAAGCATCACCCCTCCCCCCCAAAAAAAAGGCAGGATGAAGTATAAACTTGATTGTAATATATTGATTTGTTATGTGGAAAACACACTGCCAGCTGGGTGTGGTGGTGTAGCCCTACCATCTCAATACTCAAGAGGCTGAGGCAGGAGGATCATTATGGAGGTCCACAAAGGTTCCTAGTGAGATCTGACTTGCTTTATCCGGCAGATCTGTATTAGAGGATTGCTGGACCATGTGCATGGTTTCTAGGTGATTGGAAGGGTCTGCACTGGGCTGAGCTGGGGGGGGGGGTCTTTTGCTCCATCCCTTGGCGTTCCTCTAAAAAAGAGACAGAAGGGGCTGGTGGATCAGGATCCAGGTCCTCCAGAGGCCATCCTGTGTTCTATCCGTTTCTCTCCCCTCTGTCCTTCTATCTAAATTTCTTATCCCTTTCTCAAAAGTACCCTGGGGTAAAATGTGGGAGGCGGTCTCCCAGCTGGCCTCCCACAGATCATGAGTTTGAGGCCAACCGTGGTTACTACATAATGAGTTCAAGGTCAGCCTGGACTATCACTGCACAAGCCCCTCTTCTGGAAAGGAAAAAAAAAGGGGGGGGGGGGGGGAGAGACCACACATATACAAAAAGCAAAAACAAAGAAGGAAATAAACAGTCAAGGAGACACTCCACTGTCTAAAGCGCAGACCACCTGGAGTCCAATTTCAGTGAGACGGTTGTTACAGACAATGGAACGGGGCCAAGCAAGCAGCCCGCATTCTTCTCTTGCCTTTGGCATCCAACTCTAAGAGTAACGGGGTTCTACATGCCAAGGAGAATCCCCTGCACTGGCTGGGAGGCACTTCCCTGACCACTAAGGGACACAACCCTTACAAGTCCAGTACCTTTAAAGTGACGGGCAGACCATGCCTTCTTTTGGTTTCTGTTCGTTTTCATTTACTGAAGGGGGCATGCCCTGGCACACACAGGGAGGTCAGTCTCCTGCCATGTGCTCTGGGGAAGAGTGTCAAACTCAGGTCATCAGCTCGGTGGCAAGCACCTTCCTCCACTGAGTCAGCTGCCGGCCCTGGGTTGTTTGTTTGTTTGTTTTGAGACAGGGTCTACTGTAGCCGGGGCTGGCTTCCACCTTGCTCAGCAGCTGAGGAGGCCTGACTTCCGGTCCCTCTCTGTCCACCCGAGCTGAGGATCAGGTGTGCATCACCACAGGCAGCTTGCCACTGTTCCTCTTCTGCCAACACCTTCCTCGCTCCTACTCTGGTGGCTGTGTGGTCACACTCCGAACGACACATAACACTTTTTCAAACATCACTTTAATTTTACAGTTTTTGTTTAAAATAAAAAGTGTAACCACACCATTCTCAAGAAATACTAAGGAACCATGAAAACACTTTTAAATGTCATTTTCATCTGAAAGTTACTGTCTCTCTTATAGTCACTCTTTAAATGAAGACCAAAGAAACAACTGGTACCTTAAATCGGCAAAAGGGATTTTCCTGTGTAAACTCCACGGGAGGAATATTGTTGTTGAAATATCCTTTTCCTGTTCCCCAGAAGGCCTGAAGCTGGTTCCACTTTGCCAAGATGGCATCTCTCTCATCTCCCAGTAACGTCGGGGCAGAAAGAGCACTGGCAGTGTTGATGAGCTGGTTGGACTGGGCGGGAGCTTGTGCAGGCTGACTGAAGAGCCCGCCCAGAGCTGAACAAGGAAAACAAAACAACACACAAACAAGCCAGAACACTTAGATTCAGGTATGGTGAGCAAATCCCTCCCCAGCTGTCCACCTTAGGAACTGATTTCTGTATTTTCTTACATATGGGGGGGGTGTGCAGCCAAGACAGGACAGAACCGAGAGGAAAAGCAAGCGAGCGTCAGCTGTCCAAAGCCTGAGATGTCAAAGAGGACCACAGTGGAAACAGCCAAAAGGCACACTAAACGATCAACAGCTTGTGGGAAGCTCGCCTGAGATACTGTCAGGGTCTCAAGTGTAACGGACCCTCTGGAGTGCAGGGCAGAGGACACGGTTATCTGAGTAAACAGCTCTACAGATGCCCCAGATAACTCAAACGGATGGCGTAGTTAGGAAAAAGGCCAGACTGCTGAGAGCAGACGCTTCAGAGACGCAGCCGACAGCACCTCAGACCAGCAGAGCTGTGAAACAAGCCGGCAGTGGTGGCCACGCCTTTAATCCCAGCACTCGGGAGGCAGAGGCAGGCGAACCCCTGTGAGTTTGAGGCCAGCCTGGTCTACAGAGTGAGTTCCAGGACAGCCAGGGCTGCACAGAAAAACCCTGCCTAAGGAGGAGGGAGACAAAACAACAAAATAAATAAATAAAAATAAAACGATAGTGCCACAATCCACAAATGAAATTCAAATCCTTTAAAATAGCAATTAAGACCCTTAATAATCTGGAAATTTTCTCTTCAAGTTTTATATCTGAGAGGGTTAAACAGAACACAGTATGTTCAATCATGTGTGGTAGCTCATAGCTCTAATACCAGCACTTGAAAAACAGGCCAGCAGTTTGTGGCCAGCCTGGGCTACATAGTGAATTCCAGGTCAGCCTGGGCTACAGAGTGAGACCCTGTCTTTCGAAAAGGAGAAAGAAAAGAAAAACAAGCAAACACACACTATGTTCAAGGACAACCGGATCTCACTTAAGGCAAGCGTTGAGCATGCTCAGTGGCCAGCAAAGAGCCAGGGCACTGGACAGACCTCGCTAGAACCATTGAGTGAGACTCGGGAGCAACTGAACAGCAAAGACCCAGGGCACTGGACAGACCTCGCTAGAACCGATGAGTGAGACCCGAGAGCAACTGAACATTCAGCAAACAGAGCTCAGCCAGCATGTAACTAACGTCAGTAAGGACATAAATGTAAACAGTCTTCTCTCTCTCCTCAAGGCAGATGCAGACAAGGCCGAGGGGCTGCTGCAGAGTAAGTGCTACCATAGCAGCATAGGGACCCGAGGGATAAGCAGGAAGAGCACGCACCAGTGGTCACAGTGCTGGGGAAGGGGCGGACCGCGCACGGATCCCAGGAACTAGCTGACCAGTTGGTCTAACCAAACCAGCACATTCCAGCTCCAGTGAGAGAGACTTGATCTCAAAAAAATAAGACAGAGAATGACAGAGGAAGACATCCAGTGTTGACCTCTGACCTCCACATGTATATACACGCATGTACACACATACACATAAACATTGACAAGTGAGATTATGTGACATTGAGAAGCTTCTGTATAGCAAAAATAATAATTACAAGAGTGAAGATAACCTACAAAATAGGAGAAAATCTTTGACAATTGATCCAATAAAGGAATCACATCTAAAAATATACAAAAAAACCTCATAACATTAAATAAAAATCAAACAAATAATCCAATCAGTAAATGAGTGAAAGAACTAAGACAGACAGATCTCAACAGTTAAGAGTGCCTGCTGCTCTTCCAGAGAGCCCATGTTTGACTCACAGCGGACCAAAGTAAATAAATAAAGTTTAAATGCTTGGCAGCCTAATTTTTAAAAAACAGAGGACCAAGAAGGCTGAGCCTGATGAAGCAATACTTTGCTGATCCACTCCCAGGAAAAAAGGGTTGGAGAGACAAGCCCTATTGGAGAGGGGAAGAAAGAAAAAAATCACAGGGCTAACTGTATCACCCAACATTTAAAAAAGATCAGAACCAAGGAAGTGAGGTGAAGTTCTTTACAGATGAATTGAGATCAACATTACTTCTGAACCCATAAAAAATGAACTGATCTAAGGAATGATTACCAAAAACAATTAGACATTACACCTCTTGATAAAGGCTATCCTATGATAGTTTGACAAATAAAACAACCAATCTATCTATATAAATAAGCCCCTGGATCCCATTCAACAACTGAGATACAGATGACAAGCACTACGTTAAACTAGGTAAGAATGACCAGTAAAGAACCGACTGAAAACCTCTGAAGGACAGAAGACTGGATTTCTTCGGGAATCGGTAACAGGAAAGGAAGTCTGCAGAGATCTAAGAACGCAGAGCTGAAGAGTTACGTTCACACACGTGAGCGACAGAACCACAGAGGATGAAGCCGGTTGTAAAGGATGGGACAAGAGTTCTTCCAATGGAGCAGTGCCTAGAAGGAGTCTGCTCAGGGTCTGTCCTGACACGTCAAGGGTGTGCCTGCCCCTTATGTATAATATAATAAATTATACCACCTTACATAGATTTCTCCATTTGTACGTATTACTTTTAGAAACAACAAAACTTATAATGGAATGACCTCAAACACAGGGCCTTACAGTTCTAATCATGCCATCAGGCTTTTCTCTAATTCCTATCAAGCGTAAGTATGAAAAGCAGCTTTTGGAATTCTTCGGAACCTATTTACAGTCCTTAAAACAGACAATCTGCATCTGAAGCAATGGTGCTGGCTGTTACTGCTACAGTTTTACATCTCAAGATAAATAAAAATCCCACTTACTAGTTTGCTGCTGCTGCTGCGGCTGCGTATTAAATCCTCCAAATCCCAGGCCGGTTCCCAAACCAGTACCTAAACCAGTACCAGTTCCCGTCGCTGTGCCAAAACCAGTACCGAAGCCAAAACCTTTGTTCTGAGTGCCACCGAGAAGGCCTTTCAATGAGAAAGCAGAGCTGCGTAAGCTAAGAACAGCACTTTTACCGGCTCCCGATGACTTCAGACAGCCTCTTACCTGTACTGCCTGTGTTTGTTGGGGCAGAAAAGCTGAATGCAGAGCCTGTACTTGTAGTGGTTGTTCCAAAGCCTCCAAACCCACCTAATTAAGAAAAAGGATAAAACATAAAGGTTCTTTTGTGTATGCACATAGAGGGAGTTTCATCTTCAAATGCTTTTGTAAGTAGTTGCTAAATACAAAGAACATACTAATCTAAATTTTCCCTTTTTTCAACATCATTAAAAAAATTCTACACTATTACTAATACACTGCAAGAAACAAATGATGAAGTATTTTAAATAGAAATAACACAATACAATACATAGTCCTTTAACTAAATGGGTAACATGATTGAAAAAAAATACATTAAGACTTTGGTCCTACCTCTAAAATGATATGTATGTGCCTTTAGACTAGCTATTACAAATTCAAGTGTCTCTATGATTTAGACTAATCAAGTTAATGAGACTAGGTGTTTACTGACAGGGGAGCTGGTCAAAGTGAATTCTGTTTAAAAAGTAGCTCCGAGTCAGGTGGTGGCGCACACCTTTAGTCCCAGCACGCAGAGGCAGAGGCAGGCAGATGTCTGTGAGTTTGAGACTCTGGAAAAACAAACAAAAAGAAAAAAACAAAAAAAGTAGCACCAGGCATGTTATTGCAGAGGATGGCTTTGCCAGCTTGCAACCTTAATTTTCATGAATCAAGTACATGTACATTAGCTTACATTTCTTTTCAGTCTGTGTGAAGAAGCTTTTCAAAGGAAACACACCGATAGGCTTACCTCGGTAAAGAAAGAATGTCTTTCTTGAAGGAGGAAAAGGGAAAAAAAGTGGAGTGGCAGGAAAGGTAGCCGAGGATACCATGGGCCTCGGGAGCACACTGGGGCAACTCTGACAGATTTTATTTTTAAGTAAGTCTAGAAACAAAGTTAATCTTAACATATCTAACACTATATGAATAGAATGAAATGCTAACCCAATTTTTAAAGAGTATTGGTAGTAGTTACCTATTTATAAATATGCTGTCAAAGACTCTGAAAACATTTGAGCCATAAATGCTGAGTTATACTTCAGGTTGTCTGAGATTCTAAATCAAACCTTGTATATTCCTTGTAATCAGATAGCCTCATCAAGATTGTAACATAGGATGGGCGCGGTAGTGCCTGCTTGTAAAGCCTTTGAGAGAGAAGCTGATGCAGGATTACAACTTCTAAATGAGCATGAGCTACACAGTGAAAAGTCATCTCAAAAAAAATAGTTTTAATCATTTTTGTGGTGCTGGGTATTGAATCCAGGACCTTGCACATGCTAGGCAGGCAAGTACTCTAATTCTAGTCTATAATGTAGATTTGGAAAATTAGTGCATAGGTATTGCACACATGTAACTTATAGATTCTACCGCGATACTGCCAGCTAAACATTTGGATGAAACACCTAAGATAAGAAGTACTGTCTTTAGTCCCCTTTTAACTTCCTACTTTCAAAGAAAAACTATGTTATCTGAATTGGCTACACAATAAAAACACTAGTCAGTATCTTATCTTGTTTCAAATTACCAAAAGTGCTTTATTAGTAATAGTAGACCTGCATGGATACAAAAAAAAAAAAAAAAAACAAAAAAAAAACAGTAATTTCTAAAGCTCTTTGCTGAGGCTGCTGATTAACATATCTGAAAGCAAGCAAAACACAATCATATCCGTACAACTCAAAACTCAACAGTGACAACTTCCAATGGACATGGAGTCAAGCAAATACGAACAGGTTTATTTGTTGCTGTGGAACTATGTGGTTTGCTTTATTCTGAAACATAAATTTCAAAATAAGGTTTATTTTGCCCAGTGCCAATTTTAAGCAAAGTAGGAAAAGCAAATACACCAAGGGCAGGGATACGTAAACACTTCTTAACGAGTCACTTTACCTTTGGAATTTTTGAGTATATTTCACATTATTTTCAACTCAGAGAATAAGGTGACTTAAGAATAAGGCTTCATAAACAATGCATAACCAAGTGAATGGACAAAAGACCTGACTTTCCAAGTAAGTCCAGGATGTAATGTTTACCAGATGCATATAATTGGCATGGGCAGAAGTGGTATAACATAGACTATGGACGATAAATTCATATACGAGCAGCTGAGGGTCAAGATTTCTCCAAGGGTCATTTTATGTTGAGCTCACAGAAGCCTATTTTAAATTGGGACATACACATCCATTGTATTTGTGTTCTGAAAAAATTTAATGATCTTCAAACAAACTGCAGATTAAAAAAAAAAACCCTTGTAATTCTCTTCTTGAATGCAAAGATGTCTAGCCTACTTTTTAGAACTCAATGTCATCTGGTAAATTAAACTGCTCATCGAGAATTTTCCAAAAATGCAGCAAAGGATTGGAGAGTCTACAATTACATCTCTCACAGAAATACATACTAACGTGTGGAAGTTGATGGAAGAAAAACATTGTCATACAGACTGAAAACCAAGACAGGTCACCGCTGTTCGTATAAGACTTGTTTCTCTTGGAAACACAAGGACAATAAGATGAAATCTCGATGAAATATGTATAAAAAATGAAAAATGACTGCAGGAGTCCAAGAATCCCAGGGGAACGCTGAGCTTATACTACAGCTAATAATTTGAAAAAACGTTCTATTTAAAATTCCATTCCAAATTCTTATCATTTTGAAGCTGTACTCTGTATGATTAAATGCAAACCCAACAAATGAGTATTCTAACTCTCCAGGCTTTCCAAAAAACCCCATCTTTTAAGACAATCAAAACTTGATATACACTTAATTTGACCTCAGGAAACGAATCCCTTTCGTTATTAGACAAGTGTCATTCTCCCCCCCCCCCCCCCCCCCCCCAAACTCTAGGAACATCGGAACATTCTTGGACTCCAGCCCCCGACCCTCGTCACACACATGACCCGCAGTATCTACCTGCACTCGTCAGACTGTTACCAAAATTGAACGGAGTCGCCGAGGTGGTAGAAACACCGAAATTCCCAATATTAAAGTTCACTGCAGGGTTAGCAGTTAATCCGAAACCCCCAAAATTAAACCCAGTGGCGGTGGAGTTGGCAGTCTCAAGCCCACCAAATCCTGATAGACATGGAGGCAGAGAAACAAAAATTTGAAAAGGTGAGAGGAGGGGAAGAGAAAAGGAAAAGAAAGCAAGATAAGAAATTACAAGAATCAGCAAGAGGTTTCACAGCGTGAATAAACCTGACGGGCGCCGGAACCGGTTAAGAAAGCGGAGGAGGTGGGGACAGGGAGAGGAGCTAAGGGCACGAGGGGCCGGGGTCGAGCACCCACCCCACCCCACCCCGGCCTGGGGAGGGGACGGAGGGAGCTGCGGGTAGCCTGGCTCCAGCCTTAGCCCTCTGGGCCGGGAGACCGAGGCGGACGAGGGGTCGCGGGGTCCCGGGGAAGGGAGAGGGGCGTAGCCTCCGGCCTCTCCCGGGCGGAGTCCCCGGTGGCGGGAAGCGACGCGGCGGCCGGGCCACGCGGGATGCACGCGCCGTGCGAGCCCCAGGGCGAGCCTGAGCAGCCCGCGGCCCTCCCGCCGTCGCCCGCCCTTTCCAAATGCCCCCCGAGGTGTCCCGCGTGCCAGGGCAAGCCGGGATCCCCAGCCGGAGGGGATCGGACCGAGAGGGGCGGGCCCAAGGCTTCCGTTCCCCGGAGGAAGAAGGCCCAGGGGCTGACTCACCCGCGGGTGCCGCGGTAGCTGCAGAGGTGCCAGAGGTGCCCGAAGGAGCCCCAAAATTGAAAGCCATGTCGCGGGAGCAGCGCTGAGGTTGGCCCGGGCTCCCGCGGCGCGACGCTCAGTGCTCACCGCTCTTCCGTCCGGCCGGGAAACGTCGGCCCGGACCATTAGTTCCGCCTCCTGTCTGGCCTAAGCGGAGGAGGTGTAGGAACCAGCCAAGGCTGGAGTGGGAGGGGTAGAACGGGAACGCCTCTCGTCCCGCTCACTTCCGGGGGTGTGTGG